AAGGATAACCATAAGGGTGGAGCCTGATTGGTTTGAACTTGGCTCCAAAGATCAAAAGTACCTGAAGGTCCCAGGTTCAAATCGAAAGAGGAAAAAAATATTCTTGTGGCCATAAAGGTTCAAATAAGGTGACTCCGGGCTATCTGCAAAACAGGTGGTCATTCTGGGATTAGTCAGCTCGCGTAGCGAGTTGGATAAAAATAAAAAAATAAATACAAGGATAAAAATGTAATTATTCAATAGACCATATAATGTCATCGCTCGAATCTTATGTATGCACGTACGTCACCAAAAACCTTCGATAACTATTCTCAATCAAGTGTCTATACAAATAATTATATTTAACCTGCCAGTTAACCAATAATATAGACACACTTTTTATATTTAATTAGAAAAATCACGATGATTAAATTAAAAAATGTAGTTTAAAAAGACGTGAAAAAGGGGATTTTGGTCTTTTACCGAAACTAAAAACAAATCGTAATTTATAATAATGGAGGGATGGTAAGGAACATGCCGAGATCCTAGGTAAGTTTATGATCATTTTTTTAGATAATCATATTTATACGACTCAATTTATCAGTATTTGGACTAATTTTATAAGCTTTTAAAGTTAACAGTCAGACAAACCTATACTGATCCACAAGATATTTAAACTGATTATAAGCTTTTTTGAACTATGTAGACATAAAGCTAGAAGTTTGGAAAGTATAAATGTATCATTGCTATGATGGTCAATTTAAAATATAACATCATACACATCATAAAAATTAACACAATGAGCAATCCAAGAAAAGATTTTAATCTATAAATTAATTAATAATTCGATAGTTATCATTCGACATTTTCTTAATCCGTTTGGACCCTTTTCGTCGTTTCGGTCCCACCAAGATTGATATGACAGTGATAAACAAGGCACTGCTTACATTATCTGAATATGTATTCATACAATCTACGATGGTTGCTTCTTTTGATAATTTGTTTCACCTAACATCTAACCATTATTTTCTATATCATTTCCGTGCTTTAAACGTTTTAACACGGAATCGTGTAATAATCAACATGATGTTTAACTGGATCTTTAATTCAATAATTATATGTTGAGAAATAGTATGCATTTTTCTCAAGTAACCTTTTTTTTAAAACATAAAAAAACCAGTTAAAGACTAGCATTTTCGGAAGAACGTTTATGTTTAATTATTGGGAGTTTGTTTCTTAACTCATACGCTCAAAATGATTCAATGATATATATATATATATATATATATATATTTTTTTTGAAGTATATAATATTTATATACGGCAAATGCAACAAATAAACTCACACACCTTCCTCACCTATGGTGATGTTTGAACCCCTGACCTCCTAGAAGGCCAAGAGCTACGATACCGCTAGGCCAAAGGCCATTTGGTTCAATGATATATTGTTTAGGTAATGTTCGGTTAATACGTTGTGAATAAATCAGTTATCACACTTCACTTTTCACTACAAATCATGACAACATATCATGAGTTGATGTAACATAAAAAATTTATCAAATGACAGCAGATGATTTAAACAGGTAAACAACATTACACTTCAACATCCAAATGGTAAAGTCAAACATGACAAGCTGATTTAAATAAAAATGTCAATCATAACAAAGTACAATCTAAATCATAATAGTCTCTAACATGAAACCTGACTTCATCATAGTTCATAGACTCAGGGACGAACCTACTCTATTGGATACGGTGCCATGGGCTACCGCTTTCGTACCTCCAATGTGGTGCAAAAATTTATAGTTGTGAAAGGTGCCACCGTATCATTTGCTTTGTGCAACCATATATATTTTGAAACTATAATGGTGACACAAATTTTATTTAGTATAGTTGGTTTGCATGACTTTTCTCCCATCCCAGAGGCCTAGACCCGGGCTTGAATCACTGTTGTGTCATGTTTCTTAGTTTTTAGCTTTTACTTTTAAATTTATTATGTTTATGAAATTTTTTGCAATAAAAGACGCGAATAAGTACCTCACATACGAAAAACAAAGAACTGATCAATAAACCAATGATGGTTTTGTGAAAAACATTCATATCTTTGTTTCTTATAGTCAAATGGCGTCACCACTTGAAAACATTGATTGGCCGGCCTCTGGACACCCTTGTCCTTTCTGTAGTCAACCTAACCTACTCCTAAAACACATGATATTAGCTTTCCTAGCCCATTGTTTCAAGCTAACGACAATGACGTGTTAATCACATTGATTATTACATTCAATGAGTTATCATAAACTTGTCTAACATATAAATCAAGTATGGAAATAAATAACATGTACAAACTTGTCAGTTCTTGTAAACATTAATTTCATAACCGTAAAGCATACCATACACTACGTATGCACATATGCAACTTGAAGATGGCTTAATTGATAATCGTGAACCAATCAGGCTCATGGGTATTGTCAAACACAGTCTTGATTAGAGTTTACGAAGTCCACTTTCAAATGTATCCCTTACGACGTGCATTAACTATCATTCATTAATTGTAATATACTGTCACATCTTTGCCAACGTCTTGGTACATGATCCCACTCATATAGCCAAAACTTGATATAATATCTACCGAAACATGTATTTCATTTAACATGTTTTAAAAATTTCAAATATAAACACATTAAAAATTAAAATACTTCAAAACTATACATATACATATATATATATATATCTCATTAACGCAGGACGGAAAACAAAACAGCCCAGATAAAACACGATGAACCCGAAATTTGAGAGAAACGAAACGCTTAATATCACTTTATAAAATCAAAACATCAATATTAAGGGGATTACATTTGAAAATTTTGGGTTTCCTTCTCAATTCATTTTCCTTTCTTCCACCGATCGATGAAAAAGTTTGGCAAACGACGCCTTAGACTTGATAGAAGTTTCAGATGCAAGTTTTTGATTGGACGAGCGACATTATGGTTTTTTTTTTATTAACCTGGATATTCAACCCGTTATGCGAGCCGACTAATCCCAAGACGACCACCTGCTTTGCAGATAGCCCGAAGTCACCGCATTTGAACCTCCGTGGCCACAAGGGGATTTTTATTCTTCTTTGGGTTTGAACCTGAGACCTCCTGATACTTTTGACCTTTGAAGCCAAGCTCAAACCAATCAGACACCACCCGTGTGGTTACTTATGGAGTTTATTCACATTATCTTTACGATATGGTAAATTCAAGTCTAATCTCAAATTTGGTAGTATGTTGATGTTTAGTTTTCTAGTTATAAATCGATCTCGAACTCGATGTCTGTCGATCGCTGGTGCTTTGTGAACGTCTATTCTTCAGCCACTCTTATGGAGGTAGTGGTTGGTGTTCGTGTATATATGCATCAAATTAAGATATCTTAGCTTCTTTTTGGCTGAAAAACTTAAAGGGGAATCGATTGAATCGTTATTGGAAATCGATTTACGAAAGTTTTTCACCAAAATCTGAGCTCTAATTGGCTATTATGGTGGGCGGGTTGTACGTCGGGTTTGGGTTGGCAACCGGGTAGAGAGGACAACCTGAAGTTTTATTTTAATTAAAAAATAAAATAAAAATAACTTTCATTTATTAGACTTTAGCCACCAATCAATTTCAAAAGGAAGTTTTATTCATGATTGATTGGCCCCCAAACAAGTTGTTAAGGAAACTTTCTAGATTTTTATTTTGACCACAATGCAAGTTTAAGAGTTTCTGTTTCGACCACAACTTATTGAATAAGCTAGCAAAATAAGTACAAAGTATATATTAAACTTTCTGAAATTGGCAAGCTTAACCCCTGCGTATATAAACGGGATGACGGAACCGACCAGAGACCAATTTATCTATTCGGAAATAAATACGGAATAAACCAACTTACATTTTTATTCAATACACAAAACAAATGAACATGTTCATCTTAAATAAATGAATTCTAATAACATACTTATGATTCGTAAGAATTATCAATATTATTGCGTGGTTTACATAGCTCATTTATTCCCCTTCTATTGAATGATTATGTAAATAGATTTCGAAAATTTGGGCCTTGCAATGCTTGGTTGATAAAGTTGGGCCGATATTTGAGTCCAATATGGTTGAGCGTTGGATCTAGATTTAAATATTTCGTTGACACGAACCCATTGAAAAAAATCCAAATGTTGATCAGATTTTTTTGTGATTTATAAGATGTTCGTTAATAACGATTAGAAGATGTTTTTATGACAGAAGATATCATGCAATATTTATTTTTTCTAGGGTTTATAGTCCTAGGGAAGGAACAAAATATATAAAAGCGGATCCAGATATTTTTTCAATTGGTGACATCAAATTAATAGCAAAACATAAAACAAAAATTAACAACAAAAATACGGTTTAATCAAGTTACATTCTATGATTATCTACTATGCCACTTCATTTTTTTAGAATCAATTAATTACATTCTCGTTTATTATATTTTTTTTAAAAGCAACTATATTAAAACAAAAAAGATAACGTAAAATCATATTTTTTAATCGTTCTCATTAACTTATAATTTTTTTACGGTTTTCATTTAATTTGACCCTGTAATCATTCACTCTTATCTAAATAATTTTATGTTATAAATATGTCTTAAAAAAGTATTTTTTGGACAAAAATATTCATATAATAAAATATTTTTTTATATGTATAAGTATAAACTATACAAATCTAAATATCAGTACAAATTATACAGACTAAGGGGGTGTTTGAGATTGCTTATTTGAACCAACCTATGCTTTTCTATAAAAGTGCTTATTAACTTATTATAATTATCCAAACACTTAAAAGTGTTTATTATCGATGTCACACCGAAAAAAATAATAAATTATTTTTATAAACAATATCAAACACGTCTAATTATATACGGTATGAAAATAAAAGAAAAAGATAATTGATTGGATAAAATGATAAACCTTTAAAACCTCTAGAAAAAGACAAATTTGTCATCAAATATCCATTTAACCAACAAATATTTGATATAGGGTCACAACCTAATCGGGATAAAATAATCCCAGAAATCGTATCCCTGCAAATGGCGGCACTTGAATCATCATCACTAGCAGTCTCATTCTTCCGTCTCCCATTTTCTTCAAATCCGCCATTACTATCCCCTTCAACTGCAAGATCAAAGCTTTCATTTCCAATTTCTACCACCAAACTTTCCCACAAATCTTATCCCCATCTTCTTCCCATTTCAACAAAGTTTCGAGTCCTATCATCATCAGCAATTCAAGAGGAGGTTGCGGTGGAAGAAGAAGAACAATCAGAGAAACCCCAGGAAGAAATTCTACAGAAGAGGCTTTTTGTTCTTAATCTACCATGGACTTATTCTGTTGATGAGCTCAAGAATCTCTTTAGTGAATGTGGAACTGTAGAAGATGCTGAGGTTTAATTCTGTATTTTTGCCCTCATATGCTGTTGTATTTTGCTCTATTTCTCTTGATATTGCTGATTTTAGCTACAAATGGAGGATATCAGAATAGTATGATTTAGGGTTTGATTTTGTTTGGATGACAGATAATAAAGAGGAAGAAAGATGGGAAGAGCAGAGGGTATGCATTTGTTACAATGGCTTCTAGACAAGAGGCATTATCTGTGATTGAAAAATATGATTCTTATGTATGTTATCCTCTTTCTCTTTTAATTTCTAGGGAAGTTTAGTGTGAACATATGGTTAAACTATGCAGAATAGCAAGGTCAGTGTCATAATAATCTTGATGATGCTATGACACTTGTATTTCTTTCAACAATAATCATCTTTCTCCGCATATTAGAGTAGAGTGATTGTTTCTGTGAAGACCCTCTTAGCTAGAGAAAAGTGTGAGAAACGGAGAAAAACAGATGCTAAACATCGAAAATGTGATATGAGTAAGCAATAACGGTACGGATAGGAATAGAGAAAGAGGAATGCTCTAAGTTTTGAGAAACTAGATATGAGTAAGCAAGTACAACACACCTTAGTCTGACATGATGCCACTCATTTGCACCTATTGGGCTTCTTTCTAGGAGGTAAGCCTTACAATTCCCATGTATTATTTGTCTCAAGGGAAGGTATAGTTATGGTTTTGTTGGATGTCGAATAGGAGTTGAGGTGAAATGATGGAATCCATAGTGGATGATTAAGAAGAATGTGGAGGACAGGTTTCACAGAAACAACTGCTCTACTCTTTTGGGTGGAGCCGTAGAGACCAGGTCTACTATAGTTGGTACCCCCTTTTTGCCGATAAGGATAACCAACTTAGAACAAACGGTAAAACCGTAGTAGCAAACTTATCTAAGTGGGAGTAATGCTTGTTTGTTAACAGCTTAATAAGACTTGCAACTTAATTGGTCATGGATACATGACTGTTTGGTAGTGGTTTAATGAATATGGAAAATGGCTTATTCAATAAGCTCCTAGGAGGAGCTTTATGCAGAAAGCAAAGTTTTTTTTTTCCAAACCTGCCTTCCTGATTAGAAAAACATGCTCATTACATCTATGAAAAAACCCTCCCAAACAAAAATCTTCTCAATCTATACAGACGGATTAATCCACAAGTGGCAACAAGGATACAGTGACCCTTTAAATTAATGGGAATCTTAGCTTCAATTCTTGTTTGATTTATAACTTGTTATGATCAGGATCTAATGCACAACATGATGACTGAATTCTATCCTATCATCTGTAGACAAACAACTCAATTGTGCTAGAACAATGGTTCCTTTAGTCAAATACTTAAGATTTAGTTTTGTTTTGTGCAGGAATTAATGGGCAGGATTATTCGGGTAGAATTTGCAAAAGATAACAAGAAAACTTCACCTGCAGCTCCTCCGCCTGGTGGTGACCGGTGTAAGCTGTATGTGTCGAATTTGGCATGGAAAGTAAGAGCTAATGATCTTAGAGACTTCTTTGCTACAGAATGCAATCCTATATCCACGAGGGTTGTTTTCGATGTCCCTGAAGGAAGATCTGCCGGATATGGATTTGTTACTTTTGCTTCTAAACAAGAAGCAGAATCTGCAATATCTGCATTCGACGGGAAGGTATAATTTCTGATATTTTAACCATTTTTATTCTAATTTGAAGTTAAAACAACAGTGAAAAAAGAGATAACCTTTCTTGTAATGCAGGAGTTATTAGGGAGGCCTGTTATTGTAAAGTTTAGCGAAAGAGGTGCGGATAAAAGCGAAGCTGAACAGGAGGGCACCTCTAACGAACAACCTCAACCCGAATCTGAATCTGAAACTGAAACTGAACCTGAACCTGAACCGTAGTGAAGATCATATGGAGGGTTCGAAAACATGTTCACATTTTTTTCTTTAAATTTCACATCCAGGCAGTAAGTAAATTATATCGCTGATTAGTCGTCTTATTAATTTATCAAATATGGTGTTCCAATCATATTGGTTCATGCCCATTAGAGTTCGTTATCCATTCAGCTCGCTAGGGGTGTGTTTGGTGTCCAGACAGGACATGATAGAACAACTGTTTATGGTAAGATAAAACTGGACAGAAAATGACCAATTTATCCCTGATGAGTTGTTTATTTTAATTAATTTATGTAATTTTATTAAATTATAATAGAATAATTATTTTTTTATAACAAAATATATCATTTGAAGTTTTCGTCAAAACAATTAAAATGACACCAAATAAAAATTTTATGTAGTTTTCTATATTTTTATCTCTTTTCTACATTATTTTTTATTATTAATATATAATAAATTACATAAATTAATAAAAATATAGAAACCGTATAAAAATAATATTTTGAGGACAATAAAATGAAAGTTTTAAAAAACATAAAATATAATAAATAAAATTTAAAGAATGAATAAAATGTAAAAAATAGGCCTATTTGATGTTTTAGAAGAGAATTAAGTTTTATTTTGAGGTTATATTGATAAAATATAAGTATGTTTCATCATGTTCCATGGGATAGAGGTGGAACAGGCTGTTTCACTTTGTTTCACTCTGTTCCACATAAAACTCATGCTAAACATGAGACAAGAATCTCTGTCATGTTTTGTCATGTCCGCACCCTAGAAAAACAGGCTTGGATAATTATTTTCGAAAAGTGGATCAGGGCAGGTATGGACCATGGGGAATGCATAAAAGACTTTGTAAAGGCCTGCCGGCCCATTAATATTTCATGTACTTCTTTCATTATGATTACATCAATTTTTCAAAAAACTAAAAATTATGGACGATTTCTAATACCACTTAGATACGATGACTCTTTGAGAAGAACCTGAACACAATTACGATCAATCTCCATTAAATTCTCATCTCCCACACCCCGTTTATAGGTCGGATGAGAATGAGTTAATTAAACTCACAAGAAGAGCTTGGTTTTGTTATAAAAGGCCCATTGGACAAAAAAGAAAAAAAAAGAGATCGTTTCGTAAATGCTTACTTGGTAAGTGTTTCCCAGATAAATTTCCTTATTTGATGAACATGACAAAAGTCAAGAATTTTACCGAGTAACAATAATGAGAATGATGGAGAGTATTACCCGGCATGTGAAGATGACGACTTTTACCCAGATAAGCGCTTTACCCAGTAAATTGTTGCATTCGATACGTTTTGATGTACTAAAATCTTACGCATCAAAATAAAGTATAATGTTGACTCATCGACGATTGGATCACAATCTACTATGATTTCTAATAATCGAATACAAATCCTTTGGCAAATAAAAACGAAAAGAGATTTCGAAATTTGTATCAATCATAAATTAGGATTACAACTAGTTTTTAGATAAATCAATCAAATAGAGACCCAAAAATAGATTATAAAGAAGCATTCTTTACCAAAACTTCAACTTGATACCATTATAATCTGCAAATGCAGCAGCAGCACATGTGATAAAACCGTAGCCAATCAAGATAACAAGGGCTGTGCCCGGCAACACAAACAGGGTATCATCCATCGATAAGTTCACTAAACCCGTCAGCAAATTTGCCTGCATATCAAAAAACGTCACCCACAAGTTTTTTTTTAACCTTTGATGAACGTTTTTAAGTTCAAATACGAAAAATAAGTCAACCAAGTGTACGTTTCTCACCACAATGAAAACTGCAAGTAAGTTTCGGTTGATTGCTTGTTCTAGTAGTGATACTTTACCGCCAGGGATATAATCTGAGAGCATTATTATTGCCAACATCTGCGAATTTAATGATATTTTAGATAGAAGGAACATTAAGCATGTTACAATCGTAACGATCACTATTTTGATGGTTACAATCTGATCATTAGTCATGGCACAGAAATGAGAATCACCTCTAGGTTTGTAGCCAATACCATAGTAACATATGTCAGGTTACACTGGACATCACGTAAACAAGGTTAACATCATATTTGTCGGTAAAAAAATAAATTGCTTCATAAAAAGACTATATAAGAGATCATAGAGGGAAATAGGAATGTCAAACCATTCTACGTGAAGGTCTTTCAACATAACTGTTCAGAATCAATGTCAAGCACCTGGAGAGATGAGCGGAGATTTGGTCAGTTACAATCAACGGACGAATATCCAAAGATAAATGTATTTCGGTATAGGAAATATATAGATACATACCAGAAGAAAAGAAACATAATCCAAACACGTTTCCTTGCCCATCTATTAGTTCTGAGATCAGGGTTCTTCTCAAACAAAAGAGTGTTGCCTAACCAAACACCAATTAGATGCAGGCCCCAATATCCTGAAGAGGAAACAACTGAATGACTATCTAAGAGAAGTAATATGCGAGGCTAATGGAAATAAGAGTCGTAATTATAATCAAGTAATGTTTGATTGTATATCATTCAATGACGGAATCCAAGTCAAGGTTTAGAAAAACAAGTCTAGTCATGTTCAAGCATTTGACATCATTTTTGCAGATGTCTTTCATCTTAGCTATTTTTCTAATAAAGAATTTCATGCTTCAGAAACTACCATACTAAATGGTTTGATCCTCCACTTAGCACATAAGTTAGATGATTGTCAACTAAAAGTTTACACCAAAAGTACATAGCTAGTTAAAAAGACAAATTCACCCTAGATAGTAAATAAAATTGTTACATTTTCATAATATCAACCATAAACAAACAAAACAAAACCAAAGTTTGGTAAAAAACAGCTAGGAGATAGGATACGGCCATAAATCCTCTAAAGCACAAACCGCCCATCTTACTTTAAAGTAAAACTAACAAGCATCCACAGAAACAGTATACATCACGAACTGATCAAAGCAATTTCTAGAAATACCTCACCGAATATGCTGTAGATCCCTTCCTTGTTTTGACTAATAATGTCTGTTCCCCTTTTGGCCGAAAGCAGATACACGTTCAACCCACTCATTAGGCAAACTTGATATCCTAAAAGTTTCGAAATGTAAACATAAAGTAAGGTGTGAGAATAAATTTTACAGACGTATAAAGATGATTAATGAAGCAAATCAAATCACACCTATTAGTACCAATGATCCAACAATCCCACAATACTTTGGAGAGACATTAATAATTGATGTCAAGACTGCTACACCAGCAAGAGTGAAAAAGAAATTCCAGTGAACACCATATTCTCCCACATGAACCTATGAAGAGAAAGATGATGAGTTAAGACATAGAACAAGGTAATAAACAGATGTAAGACATAAAAGACGCCAAAGAAATAGATATGCGATTGGATTTTAGATTCTACGAACAGCCTCTCAACCAACGTCTCCATGCTAAATATTTTAGTGACAGATTCCACAAATTATAAATCAATCATATCAAGTTTTCTAAGAACTTTACACCCTATGGTATGATTTTTCCAAAACACAGCTTTCTTTCATAAGAACACCACACCCAGCGATCAAAACACCTTTTATCATACTTCCTCCATAAAATGACCAGAAATGTATGATGCACTTCTTATGGCCATCAGAACCAGCTTTATAAACAGTCAACCACAACTATGTTATTGGTTTTAACTTTTAATAGCATAACCATGGCAGCAATGGCATGAACAACATTTGTAGTTCATCAAAATTAAATATTTTCGGCTGTTTTCAATATTTTGGAAGATCAACTGAATATTAGCTATTATTAGCTATCCTAGCCTTGAAAAAAAGTTTCAATCAACTACACATCATGTCACTATTTCGAAATAACAGATATAATTCTTAATAGCAATTCGAAAGGTCTTGAGCAATATATTATCATTTTGCCTGAACATCGACTTGAAGATCATATAAACCATTCAGGTTTGTGAGACACTAGAACAAATTGCCATTTATGGGAAGCAACTCCAGAGACAGTTATATCATCTTAACTTCTTATCAATGTATTATCTGAGATAAGGGATTTATCTCAAGCATTAGTGTTATCATTGACGTTACAGACTGAGGCATCGACAGAGCTACATGTAAGCTATTGTCATAAAGTACAATGGCAAACAAATTCATTTAACCTAGCAGCAAACATCATGACTTGTATTGCACTTGAAGCAGGTTCAACTCTGTTACCCTTCAAAGGACAACTTAAACAATATTTAAATGAGTTTTCGAATTTCATCTTTAACGATAATACGTCCTTTTACAAAAGCAATTATGCAACAAACTTTAATCATTGGCAAACATTAATAACTAATACAAATTTTGACAAGTTTGATCAAGTTAACTTGACTGCATGATCAATTTTATAATCTTCAGTTTTCTTTCAAGTAGAGAATTTTCATTGTGTATTGAAGAATCTTTTGTTGCTTACTAAGTTTTATATTTGTTTTTTTTAGATGACATGATTACACAAATAAAAATACAAACATATGTTAAAATTTAGTCTTGAACCAACAACCACCAGGTTCAGAAACTTAGTTGGATGCCAATTAGGCCAAAGGCCACTGGTTTCAGTTTTGTAATTGTCCTGTAAGTACAAGTATCTGTACAAACTCAACTTTGAATTGTGGTTTACGATAAACGTTTTCAGTAAACACAATATTAAGTAATATATCCATTTGAAAGGAACTCACTGGTTTTTATCATCAAGATATTAGTGACCACACTCTATGAAAATTCCACATCCATCACTGGGCTTAGGATGTGCCAAGACAATAAACTCTATGTTCTTATAAAGTTTGATATCTTCACATAATTCATAACAAGGATCTTGTCTGACAAAGACAGCAAAACAAACCTTATTTCTACCACCCTCGTCTAAAAAAACAAAAGAAAGAAAGAAGAGAAAATGCATCTACCCTAGAAACTACTGCTGGGAAACAACTTGTACAAGAGTTCTCACCCGGATTAGGAAAATTAATTAAAAAAAACTATACCTCAATTTCTGTGTCAGATATAACCCTTCTCTTAGTCAGATGGAGAACATTCATTTGATGTCAATAATGTAACTTTACATACCATAGTTTGACAGTTCCATAAAATAAAAATAATAATACATAGCTGTTGGATTTACTAGGAGCAAATATATGGCAACCACCAAAGTTGTCATTTTTTCCTTCTCTGAAAAGAGGGGGTGTGATTATAAGGAGAGGGAATGTGCATTAACTCGCATGCTCTTTGTAAAAAACACTATGGTAGTTTGGTGGCAACTTTGATGGTTGCTATAGCTTTGCTCATTTACTAGCAAATGTAATCAGGATGAGGGATCCGGCATTTCCATTTTCTTTTTCTTTTAATTAGTTCTGTTTCTAAATAATAGGTGACTTTACACGTTAACTTAACATGCAAGAATGCAGATATAGCTTTCATGTTGAAGAAGCTTGGGAACAATCTAAAGATCACTTACCTGATAGTCAACACCAGTTGTAAAAACAAGTCTAGCAAACCCCAGAATCAGTAAAGGGCTAGTAGAGGACAGCACACTTCTTAAACCCCTAAAATAGCAAAAGGTGGTCAACCCATTACTTAATGAGAATGAAACAACAAAAGAAAATTTTAAGAGCATACATATTTAGTAAACTGAAGATTAAGGTCATGCAAAATGTTGACACACTCACAAGCATGTTACCCCTCAAACACATGCCTCGTGTATCATAATTTATACACAAGACATTTGCTAACAATCACAAACTAACTCCCAATTAAGGGGCGTAGAAAAAGAATATGAACATGGAATGTGTGTGCAACAGTTTAACAGCTTACACTTCTCATATAAATGAACCAAACATGCATAGTTGTCTCTGTGTGTGTTATTTACAGAGTGAACAATACTTCATCCATTCATTAAAGTATATTTAGATTATAATCGCTGATGTAATATAATTCTATGGTAGCTTAACTAACACTTTGGCTATATGGTTTCTTATTAACTAGCAGGGAAGATCCAACTGGCCTGCAAAATTCTTGATATTTGTCTTCTCTCTCATTTAAGCATGTATGGTTGCCTGTAACCCTGCTTGGATTATCAATAGTTGTGAATTCTGATCAAAAACTTGTGGTTTATAATTGCATGATAAATATGTCCCATATAGCAATGTGGCTGTCATGATTATTGTAAGTATTTGTTTCATGATAGACAAACTACAGAAACATAACTTTTTTTCTATGTTGCTGGCATAAGCGTCTCTACTCATTTCTAGGGTGCATGATACTCTTTTGATAGAATAATGTCAATTTCTGCACTTTCATCCATCCTACTGGAAATACTCAAAACCATGTTCTCTGTGCAATAAAATTTCGTTGAGTCACGAGTTTTATCACCTAAAGCCACTAATTGATGTTTTTGCACCAGTAGATCCCAACGTAGCGGCTAAACAAAGAGCTGCAAGTTTATAACATGGCACAAAACTAAATAAGAAGAAAGCGTAGCAGATATATCTAGTGTTGCAAGTATACAGTGGTTTCATCATATCTAAGGACAAAATGATGATATCAATCAGCATGTGGGAAGATTTTCCCAAAGAAATCAAAAATTCACTTTTGCTGGTTTATGTTGAGTCATTTGAAATGCCATTTCAAGCCACTGACTCAACAACTTATTTGACACTTTTATATACATAAGCTGAAAAAAATTCACCCCCTTCATAGAAGTAGCTCTTGCAAACTTTATGAACAAGAGGAAGTAAATTGGCTCACATTGATGAAATTCCCCGAGCTTGATGTGAAACCAAAGAATTTGCCAAGACAAATGCACCTACTCCAAGATCCATCTGAGAGTGATCAAAATAACAAATCAGTATAACCATGTCAATGAGAAGTTCATAACAGAGGCAGTCATGAATCTTGACTCATGAATAAACAACTGAACAGGTTGGTTCTTACTGCAAGAATTTAGGGTCTAATTCACATCTATTATGCAGGGGTTGGTCTTGTATGATAATGTGTACATTGTGAGCTTGTTGCATATACATAAGAGACAGAACGGCACACCCTTACCTACCTAGAAAATATGGCATAAAATTCGAGTAATCAAAGCAGAGTATACCCACAACTCCTTGGTCCAGATATCTAACCTAACCCAGCTTGAATTGACTTGAGGTTGCTTCATTGAGATATATGCTAGCTATTAGTCAGTCCAGATATGAACAGGTTGTATAGTTTGACAATCTATGGTGGTGCTCAATATAAGTGTGGTAGTTGACTTCTAAATGCCAGGTCCTCTTGTGATAAGACTTGGTTCTTAGCTAAATGGGCACCACGTACATTATTAGTGCCCAACTCACGCAAGAATGACCTCATCCAAGTTATTTTGCAAGTGATATTGACCATCTGTATTCAACTTCTGCAGTAAAACAAAAGACAATAGATTGTTTCCTACCCAATCAGCATATGAGAAACCTGCATTGTATCTGCTGTAAATGTTCCCACGCTGCACTGTTTCTGTCACTGATGTGAATGTAGTTACCTCTCCCAGGGTACTCATAATACCTCAAGATTCACCAAAATAACATCTAGATAATCAATGTATAAAGCGAACATAAATCGGCCAAAAAGCTCATTCGGTAAGCAATATCTCGATGCATAACTTTCAAATAGTTGACTTTTCTCACTAGCATCACGTATTTCTCTAAATCATGTCTTGGCTTTCCATCTTTAGGGATTGAGTCATAAGTCTTCCAGTTTGCACCAAGGGCCCATGTCAAACCTTTCCACTTATATACCAGATAACTGTTTCTTACTTTGACATAACTTTCAGTTGAGAGTTAAAAATAAGCGCTATCACTAGCATCAAATACAACCATGTATAAGTGTGTATACGATCCAAGTACAAATACCACACTAAAAGACATGACAAATAACTTTCTAGCAAATGAAAAGATACTAATATAGGCCAGAAAATTATTACCAAACTAGTCCCATAAGTCTCGGTTTTAGCATATCTTCTAGGAAATATTTTGAAGTCAACGGCCAAAATACAAATGCATGTGATAAGCATCTGCACAAAACATAAAACAAATTAGAACTTCAAAGCATTCAATGCCATTCATCATATTTTAGAGCATCAAGACTAAACAAAATGAAATATAATTATGTTAAAGTTACCATAAAAACCCTGTATGATGAGACATATGTCCTAAGAGAATGAACCCCTTCTTCCTGATCCCAAGAAGATCCATGTCTGCATGTGACGGAAAATAAATTCAAGATTTCAGATAATGAGCATTTAAAACTCAATTGGTTAACAACAATTTTGCGTAACTGCACAGTCATATTAAACATAATTCAGACACACAGTTTATTGTAACAATAAGTCCATAACACAACATATTTTTTCGAAGATAACAGACATATATTACCTCTTAGATGAGATAGAGAGAAGCAGCATTAATATAAATAGAGCTCCATTCACGTAAGTCCATTCTGCTAGAACCTGCCATTTGAAGATCCTTTATGTCTTCCAATAACTATGTTTTGATATTACAAAAATGATAAGATATTGTAGGAAATCATATAGAAGTGTAAACTCACAGTTACGTTATCCTGCTGATTAGTGAGTACAGAGTTCATATGCAGTACATAAAAGTGAAAATGAAGAGAACTACTTTCTAATGATAAAAATGGGGGCAGAGTGTTTGTTTTTTAAAATTGATCTTTCCAGAAAAGGGAATGTTGTATTTCTCATAGGAAACAAATTGGAAAATGTTGCAGTTCTTGGGATGGAGGCAGTACACACATTTTATTGATATTAACATTACAGAGAACTGGCAGGCCTTCTATGTTTGCTATTGTAACAGAAGATCTGTATCAGACTGAAGATACTTACTGTACACAACAAAGTGATCGGAAGAACAATGGAGAGGAAATCTATTATCATTGTGACGATGTAAATCCTTTGATTTCTTGACACAAGCGGTGAAGTATCTTTCTTCTTTGAGGAAGTTTCATTGGTAACATGATCTGGAGATGCAAACGAAATTAATCCATTTGAAAATATGGAATCTGCCAGGGACTTCTGCACAAAGTAGACTCTTTTTACTAGAGGTAGAAAAAGGCAAACACTAAAACAAAATTTGCATGTAAATTCTTATACATAAGGAACAAAATTTACGTTCTGTTTATTTTGGCTTAGCTGATTGATATCCAGCAAATTATAATTATGTAAAAGAAGTAAGCAGAGCCATCATCTCATAACTGAACAACATATATAGCCTTATAGTTAAGTAGACACCAGATTCTTTAACAGTGTAGGGAAGTTTTACACAACACATAAGTCAAATCATAAAATGTTCTGAAGGACGGCCTTATCATTGATAATGTAAGAATAGTTGTCGGTGTTGCCTAGCATCGTAGCTTTAGGCAATCATGTGATCATTGTATGTTTGATGCAGAATGATTAAGAGACTCTCATGATATAGTGCAAAATGAAATATAATTGTGGTAATTGTTTACAATGAAATTAGCGCGCTGAATGGTTAAGGGAAGTCCATGATACAAAATCATTCAGAGGGTTTTAGAATCATTAAGAGACAAGACTTTTTTTTGCCATTAACGATTCAAGTCTGCCTCTTAGAGGAACTATTAAGAGGTAAACGAACAACCCCCAAGTTGCGAAATTAATAAAAACATTGTCCATATTATTATGTTTAAATTACATTCTGTGCTTGTGCTTAAACATAATATTAACCAGAGAATATCGTATTAAAAAATGTCTCTTGTCAAAGTACTATTTTGGGGTTAGGTTGGAGTAACACAGTTGCAACTAGCATATGTAAAAGTTCATATAGAGATATGGAACCCACACTATCGGTAATAGACGTCTTCAATGTTTGCAAATCTTGCAAGTAAACTCTAATAGCAGAAAGCTTACAGTAAATAAATTTACCTATTTTGCAGATGCCTATGGCATGTCGCAGCAGAATAAGCATCTGAATCAATCAAAACTGGAATCTCAATACATAACTTATCAATTAATTTCCGGAAAACGACTTTATCGAGGAATGTAATGGATAGAACACGTACAGGAAATATTGCAGAAAGTACAAAAATTTCAAGCATGGAAGATCCTGTTAGGTTGCTGACAAATCTGATAAACAATATACATAAAAGAAGCGTAAGTTACCTCCATCTAAGCATATCCATTCTTCATCTGTCGATGACTAGAGAAAACTACTAATATCGTAAACCTAAAAATGATTGATTCACCAAGAAGAGAGAGAGAATAGAAGGGAGAAGATTTCTTACTGTTCTTTCAAATGCTTGTTTGGATTGATAGACTTCATAGAAGAATCCATAGCTGAATCGGAGAGAAGTCGCAGAGAAGGTCGAGCAAATGGGAAGAGTGATTGATTATCGCAGCAAGAAGGATCCATGAATAACGAGAATTTTAAAACGACACATAAATTTTAGGGTAAATTACAAAATTCCCCCCTGAAGTATCACTGAACTTACCTAAATGGAAGTTCATTTTCAATGTAGTTACTCAGCTCATGTATTTCATCTTCCACCGTCACCGCCCATCACCGTCACTTCCACCACGGCGCCATTCAATCACCCCTTCATCATCAACTGCAATTCGAAATTGAAAAGAAAACACAACAGATAAATTCGAAACCAAATACATTATCATCATAAGAGTTTTAAAGTTATCTCACATTTACCCGATTAAAAGTATGGAAAAACAAACAAGAAAATTGGTATCTCATCCTAAAATTCTTCTATCTAATCCTACATACACTCTAAATTTAACAATACACAAAATTTCCTGCTTGAAAATTGCAGATATATAACAATTCTAACAATTTCTATGTTGGGTTTTGTTAATTCGAGCAATTCCTCATGATATCCTTCTTGATATGTATGCCGAATGAATTATATACGAATTTGAAGCTATAGCTATGGAGCTGAGCATTAACAGGCGGCGGCGGGGGCGGCGGCGGACGGCAAGAATCTCATACCTCAAATATGGATTTCCGATCGGGGTTTTTACTTGTTTTCATTATCTCTAGAAGTCGATACCTCACCAAATCCAGTATTGGCGGAGGAAGTTTTCGTTTTGAATTCTCCGAACTCTGTACAACTTCTTGTCCAATTATGTCCATGAACCAGTTTTGCTTGTATGTGTTCTGGCAATCTTAAAGTAAACCTATCTTCATCGTGATCACTCGCCTTACTATTTTTCGAAATCGAATGTCCAGTGGAATTGCATCTCGAGAATCTTTCTGTTGATCTCTTAACTTCATCTCGATCCACTTCGATCGTCACATGTTTCTCCTTGCCATTTTCTTCTTTCGAATGATCAACGTTATCATTCATGTTGTTGTTCCTTTCATTTTCATCAGATCGGATGTTGATCGTAAACGTGTCTTCCAGTAACTCATTTTCTTGAATCTCGTTCATGGGCGTACTATTTTGCGACAAGGGAGATTTTTGCGGCGAGTTAACGGGCGTTTCCAGGCTCCGTCGACAAAAGGGACACGATTTATGCGACTCAAGCCAAAGATCGATACAATCTTGATGGAAAACGTGATAACATTTCGTTAGAAGGCGAAGAACGTTATCATCTTCAAACTCACACAAGCATATAGCGCATTCTAATCCATACGATTGACGTCGAAATTCTTTCACATTCGAGTAAATAAACGTAGGGAAAGTATTTATAATGGAAGGGTCGAGTCCGGGTGGACCACCACCAGGAACTCCCGTCTGAGTCCCAGAAGGATTACGACGGGGGTTCCACGTGTAAAACACGTTTTGCATGAAACACCTGCAAAAGTAAATCGTAAAGAACCCGATAAAGAAGATGACGAGGAGAATGGTGGTTAGAATGATGGTGATGGGAGGTGAGCCACGAGGTTCTGTCGGCATTGCGGCTTGGGCAGGGTCCGTCGTCATGAGGCGGTGGTAGGTTGGCCGGAGATGTAAAATTCCGGCCGGTGACCTTTTCAGGATGAGGAAGAAGAGAATGTGGAATAAGTGAAAGGTGACAAGAGTCTATAATTAAAAAATGGGTTTGCATGTTGCTTGTGGCAGAGAAAGAGAGAGAGAAAAGGGGATATAAATTATAATGGAGAGTGAGAAGGTGAAATATATTTGGAAGGAAGGTGATTTGGGGTTGGTTTCACTTTTATTGTAGGGCGTTTATAGACTCATTGAATGAGTCCTATTACATCCATTAACCATCAAAAGTGTCCCTAACTTTTGTCATTTCTTAACTACAAAGCCAAGGCGGTGTTTGAATGGTCTTAGCTTGACTCTAAAGATCAAAAGTAACAGGAAATCTCAGGTTCAAATACAAGAAGGAATAAAAATCCCTTTACGACCATGGAGATTCAAATCCAACACGAACTCATAAAAAAGCCTATTTCTTGTACGTCCATCAAACCGGACATGTTTCGGTCCTAATACTCTATTGGATATTCTAGTTGGGCTCGATAGGTCGACTCTTTGGTCGTTGAGGCCCATTCTTTAATGCCCAATAAATCGATAACATGGTTTCTCATTCTTGTACTTTTATTCCATATAAAAAATAAAATATAATTTTTATTTTTATGTTCAGTAATTTTTTTCTACTTCTAAAAATTATAAAATTAATTCGTCGAATTTTCAAAATAAAATGTCGTGTTATATTTAATTTAAAACGCTTATCTAAATAATATTATTAAAATAATATCAAAACTAAAAGAGAATACAACATATTAAAACGACATAAAACAGAAAAGACATCCAACAAGAAAAGCATTCGGCAATCCAAACAAAAATACACTTCTCAGTCCACAACAACATTCTCAAAAGTTAAAACAAACAAGCACAAAACACAAAATCCATTTGTACCCGCAACTTATTCAATCTCATCAATCCAGTCCCCGTAAATACGACTAATTTTATCTGGGCCCTTCCACTTTTGAAAGGGTCTCTGTCCAGTCCTCGGAATGACGCCTGGCAGCCGTTGAGAAGGAGCCCCAACATGATAACCGTCGGAATGAGCCGCTGATGGACCAGCAGCTACCACCGTTTCAATGGGTATTTTTGAAGACATGACCCCTTGCTTGTTCGAGTCCATTGCAGTTGGAGAATCTTTGGCATCTATATCAACAAGCCCCCCACCATATCGATGCAGTTCTGCTAAAAGAAGCATCAATATCCATATATTCAAAGCTATAGAACTACAATAGCTACATACATATATTCACATCATACATGTATTGATCATATAAGATAGGGTGTCAAAATTGACTTGTATCTTTCATTTGGGTCTTTCCCAGCATTGGAGCAAACTATCTTTTACTTTAGGACAAGTGAAACCCCATTAGGTTACTCTCCAAAAGCCTCTCGCCCTCCCTCTTGATGGAGAGAATTAAGGTATCAACATATATTGAGATGAAATGGTCCAAGTCTAATTGATGTGGGGATCTAACACTCTGCCTCCAACAGAGGTGCATAGATAGTCCTAGAGAGTCGAGAGGGGGCTAGGAATGTTGGTGACTTTAGTGAAATCATCAGTTTGTTTTATGTAATTGGATTCACAAGAGAATATGGGTTGGTAGATAAGTTATATCATGGCCTAGGAGGTGTGGACTGCATACTCATGTAAGTTAACTAGAACCCTAGCGTTGTTCCCGCCGACCGATCAGCGAGCAAGGTCGAGGGGAGCCGCCCCCGCAGGGTTTGGAGCAACGTCCTGAAACCTCTATGGATTTTATGAAGAGAAGTGCTAGGGAAAATTGAGTTTCTGATTGTTAAGTGAAATTCAGAAGCCTCTGAGTCTTGTTTAGAAGCTTCTGATTCTGAAGTGGTTTCGACTCGAGGCTTCTCACTATGAAGAGTCAGAGCTTCCGAATTTGAAGGGCTTCTGACTCTAAAGAGTGCGAAGCTCTGAAGCCTTCTGATCCGTGTAAGCAATTTGTAAGTTTGTAACTGTTGTGCCGTGAACCGTCCACTAAGTACTCTAGCAATCATTTCCATTTAATGGGACATATTCTCGGTATTAATTTAGGAACAATTACAATTGTCTAAGTTTAAAAGGAAACTATTTCTACCAAAATCGTGACTGAGACTTGAGCTCGAATTGATTTCGTGATACCCAAGCAAATTAGGATCGAAATACAACTCAAGGAAAGCGAGCTCTCACGCGATCTCAAGTTTTATCAAGGCTTTAAACCTACTATTTCTCTGTAACTTTCGAGATTCTTCCAACATAAATGAGTACAGATTGCCCCACGATGTCGAGTCTCTAGAGTGGTAGACCTTGGCTCTGATACCATGTGAGAATATATGCAAACCCCAATAAAATTCACTCCAAAAGAGAATTTGAGGAAGGAATAGAGGTTCCAACATATATCGAGGAGAAATGGTTCTAGTCTAAGCCGATATAGGACTCTGACATTGACAAAAAAACTCATCTAAGCTTTATGAATGGGGCAGTAAATAGTCTACAGAAATTTCCGAGTAATTCTCACTCAAATTCTGCTTGAAATAATCGTAACATATGAAAAAATACGTGCTTTACAACCTAATGGTAGTGCTTGACTCTTAACGTAATGTAACAAAAAGTATTTCAATATGCAATCAAATGTCTGAACTACCCTTCAATAAAGATACGATAGAAGGAATCTAGTGAAGCAAAATCAATACCATCTATAAACAAGTAGTATCAATTCAAGCTTATTTATGAAAAGAAACTATACCTGCAGCACCATGAGCAAAATGGCACTTACTCCCAAATGGGCAATACCCTGTTTGCTCCCACTTGTTACAGATTCTTGTTTTCCAATTTGAAGGCTTCAAGATAGAATTGGATCCTGCTGCTTCTGCTACACCACCACCGCTGCCGCCGACACCGCCACCACCACCTCCTCCTCCTCCTCCTGCTCCACCACCACCACCACCACTTGCTCCTACACCGCCATACCCACCACCAGATCCAGGACCCAAGCTTATCACAACACTTTCACGAGCTTTCGATTGCTCATCATGAAGAAACGTGCAATTATCACCATACGGACACCCCTCTTCAGTATAGAACTTCTTGCAATGCCGCCCTTTGTAAGATCTCTGACTGTCCACTGTAAAACTAGAAGAACCAAGTGACGGTATTTGAAATTCTTCCCTGGGTTCAGAAGAAACAGCCCTTTCTTCCTCATGAGCAGCCACAATTTCTTGCCAATTCGGTGGCGGCCTTCTCAGTTCTTCAATGCTATGTGCAAAATTACAATTTGTGATATAAGGGCAAGTACCTGCCCTAAACTTGCAGCATAGTTTCGTCTTAAAGAACATTTTCCCAATCGCTTTAGAACGACTAGAAGCCTGCACATCCCCTCCCTGCCCATTTCGTGTCTTCTTATTCGGTGGTTCACTTCCAGATCTAGTTTGCGATTGCCTCCCATCATAATTCGAATTCGAAGTAGTATCAACAGATGCCTCCCTATCCCAAACACCATATTCATCCTCTGTTGCCCATACTGGCTGATCCCCCCAATAATCAGCTCCATTTCTTGAACCTCCTCCTGTGATAATCTGAACAACATTTCCAGTTTCTCGACCATAATCCATTTCGGGTGCAACTGAATGCCTCAAGATTTCTTTCCTAAACAAAGGACAGACAAAACCCTAAGCGAAACGCCACTATATATATAGAAATTACAGCTCCAAAAATGGCCGTAAACACAGTTTCTGTAAAAGGCAAAGGCTAAAGGTACAAGCTGGAGCCCTAATTATTTGAGAAACTACAATAAGTGATACAAAAAGTTGAACAACTGCAAATAGGAAATAGATGTTTCGATTATCGAATGTCAGATAACAACAGGGAAATTGAATGATGTTCCGAAAGACTCAACTCGCAACAAAGAGGTAATTGCGATAAATGGACGATTAAGCGACCTAAAGAACAACAAAATCGATAGAGTACAAACAAACCCGAAAGGGAAATTACAAGAAAGATACAATCTTTGTCACTGAAACAGATCTGGGTACTAGATTTTTGAATAAAACATAGTAAAATATAGAACTAAGAGCAGTTACGACATGGAAAACAAGGAAAGTACCAGATGAAATCAGTTATTATCTGATCGAAGTAATTAAATTGGACCCCCCAACCGATTTTGAGAGATGGGTTCGCTTAATTTACGGGTTTGCTAAGCATACAGCCATTGTTCATGGAAAGATCGAGAAAGGAGAAGCTCTGCCATTAATGAAGCGCAGGGTAACCAGTTCCCTTGATTCTAATACTAAAATACCATTTGAAACCCTGAAGTTTTGATTTTGATCACTTTGGTACCCTGAAAAATTATTTTTGGTCGTTTAAGGTCCCCCGATATGAATGGTCATGAATTCATGATTCTACTTGCTCTTTTTTTTATTAACCTGGATATCCAATGCGTTATGATTATACGTACTTGAGCACTATAATTCAACAAGGTAAGATTTGGTTTGTTCGGTGTTGAACAGGCTTATGTCCCTTATATGGGGATGAAGTTGAAACTATTGATATCGATCATTGTCTTAGTTCATTAGAAGCAGGTCTTGACGTGTGGGGAAAACTGATGATGGCTTTCAGCGTGGACTTTGTTATCAACGTTTTCTTAGAAGAACAACCTTTAGAAGAACAACCTCCAGTCTCTTCTTCTTCGTCAAAAGGATTTTGGCATCGATTTTGTTGACTACAATATACGTGAATTGGAGTTTTCGTAATAAAGTGGTGTTTTTTTAATTACTCTTGGTCGGAGTAGTGTTGCAATCCAGGGGTAATTTTATAGGTTGATTGGATGAACAATGTCGTTGAATCTCTTTCTCTTTTCTATAATTTCTAAACCTTTGTTAGAATTCTAGATTTGTGTTCTTTGCTTGGTTTTTGCAAATATTTTTTGAAATCAAACATTTTATATTTTTGCATTCTCATTTAGTGATGGCCAAAAACTAGTCCCAGGCCGGGCCGGGCTGGTCCCAAGATTTCTCATAACCGGCCATAACCGGTCCCGATCGAAAAAGTTGAGTCCAGTCAAGCTTTATTGTAGCCGGTTATGTGCCGCGGTCCCGGTCATTAAAAAATATTTTTTGTATTTTTATTTTTTTAATGATATGTATTTTTTAATACATTATCTATACTATATTATAAAGTATTTGACAAAAACTCTTAAAAATCATTTTTATGCATAAAGTACTGTATATTGATGCATATTACTTAATATTCAAGATTACAAGTAAATTATGCATTAAGTACAACTTATTAAAGTTCAATGTTTGAATTCGTGTACCTAACTTCGGATAAACATAATCAAATATAGAATAAAGATCTCATTTTAAAATACAAAATATAAAAAATCTAAAACATAATTAGGATAATTATCGACTTTCGAATCGAATGTTTAATTATTATATTTAATAAAAATTATATTATTAAACCAAAAATAAATTACTTTGTTATTATACCTAAATTAAATTATAATAAAAAATTGAATTAAAAAAGTTACATAAAAAAAACAAAAACTATTAAATAGTTAATTTAATACTGATATCGAATTTTTTAAATTTTTTATGCTATCTTCAAATTTATATAGAATATCGAAAAAGAAGACTAGGTCTAAGTAAGGTATACGACGGAAAGCCTATTTTAATTTGTTGACAATGTGTACAATGAAACTTAGCATTAACAAATATATTAGTTTTTCATTGTCTAACCAAAACAAATTCTCTCTCGATACGTACTTGAGGAGATTTGAAAATCACCGGACGGAGATTGGCCCTCGAGTGGTGAGAATCCAATGCCCCGAAAACCTAAGGGTTCCTCCGCAAGGTTAGTCGATTCTATTTTGCCTCTTCCTCAGAGAAAAACACAAATTGGGAGAATTTGGCCCTACTTTAAATTTCCGAGGACATGCAAAAAGCGATAATAGATCTCGTCGTTAAATTTTTTTATCTTGTTTTCCTTGCAAAATACTGTATTCTTCAACATCAATCGGTTCGGACCTCCACTTAGTTTCACAAGTAATTTCTGCTGGGCTGTTATCCTTTTTTTAGGTTCATTAGGATTCAGAACTTGAATCCATGTCCTGTCATTAAATTCGTTTTCTCAAAACCACATAAAATTATATTTCATCGATAGAGACAAATAATAAAAAAAAACATTAAAATGGAGATTTATCTCGTTGCATTGTGCGAGTACCCTTCTAGTAAAATTTATAATTGGGTCACTCAAATACACGTTTTATTATAATTAAAATTACACTGTCTTACAAAATATAGCGAGAAATCGATAATTTGTGAACGTTTTTTTTTTTTTTTTGTGTTTTTTGCGAATCGAGAACTTGATATGTAAATCCCTCAACTAAGACACTTATATATAGTGTTTAGAAAGCAAAAAATAACAAAAAAGGGCCAAAAAGGGATACATTTAAAAAATAGCTACATTTTTTAAAAATCGGGTCGGGCCATAACCGGTCTCATGAAACACCCCAAATCCATAACCGGTCCCAGATTTCGGTCCTATAACCGGTCCCGGTTCTCCGACGGTCCCAAGCCGAGCCAGGCCGGTTTGGCCATCACTATTCTCATTTAAGCAATAATAATCGATTATGTTTAAGTTTTAGCTTTTGCCACATTCCAAAAAATAGACCTCATTACCTTATCGAATTCTTGTAAACTTGTTGGTACTGAATCATGTTATATAATATTTGTGTGTGCAATCCTGCTTCCGATGTGCGTCAAATTATGTTTGAAAACGAGCAGGAATTAAATTTTCTTTTCTAGAAAATGATCTATGATTAACCCAAAGTTGAATCATTTGTCATCACAAAATAGAAACATGATTTCCACCAAAGATGATGCATCAAGCATCTAATTAAATCAAACGAAACCAATAAATCCCACGTGAAGTGGGGTACGGGGAAATGCATAAGCATTTGATCACACCAATTTTTTGACGGTTTCTTTTTCGATAGCTCGAAGAGAATTCTTAGCGGTTTTGATCAGTACTTTGCTTATGGTTTCCTTTGCTCCTCCCCTCGTAACCCTACTAGCATTCCCTTCTATCTTGTTGCTATTGGATTTCGATAACGTCTTCACTTGATCACCAAGCACTAGAGATTTTGACCGTGTAACGACCATCTGTAGTTTTTTAACGATGAAATTATGTTATACTAATTAATCGTTGTTGCAGCTTTCAAGTTAAAAGTATGTTTTTTAAATTACTTACCTTCTTGGTTTCTGATTTCCAAGGAGGGTTTTTTTGTCGATAGAAGTTTGGCAACGGTAGGGCCTTGAACGTCGGATTTTCCTTTGGGATATGCTTCATTTTATCTCCTACATGCTTTTCTTTCAATGTAACTCGTCACAATTTGAATTCAAATCAAGAAAATAAAACAAATGATGAGGACGATTTATATTGTTTTCGGTATACCTCTATGGGTGTATCAACCTTCTCGTTGATCCGAACTTTTGGCTTTAGACTTGTCTTATTCGATGGACTCCCAGTTCTGTTGAGACTTGAGATCAAATTTTTAGTCATATATACTCTTACTATAGCAAAATCTGTTTTATATAATATCATATTAAGTTTAAATGTCTTAATAAACTGCTTAATAGAACTTAGGTTTATAACAAATCAAATTGTACTGTCTCATATATAAATGTATTACAATAAATTGATATGATGATTTTGGACGTCCGAATAAGTCTTTCAGAACAATTTTGAAGTAAAAACATCACGTTATTTGAAAACATGTCGCATAAAAATGTGTTCATAAAAAACTTCTCAAGAGTGTCGTACTTAAATGACATTTATTTTAAAATTAGGCTAAAAAACTTGTTAGAATATCAAATATATGATCCTAACATTATGATATATCACCTTAATAGGATGCATAGTTATTTGGTCACATAAGCATAAGTTATGATATTTTCGGACATTTTTGACATCGTATAAAATCGATTTTGTTATAAAGACTCGTTGCATCTTTTCCATCTAGCTACCCAAAGAACTTCTAATCATAAATTTTGATATTTAAAGATAGATATTGTACAAAGTTTACCAAACGCTTACTCGGGTAAGTAAACACCAAGTCATTTTACGTACGGATGAACGCGGGTTGGGTTGGGCGGTTTACAACAACTTTACAACTTTACTCGGGTAAGTAAACACCAAGTCATTTTCCCTTCTATAAACATATTTGAACTCTTTTAGATAAGACGTTTTTCTAATGTAACTTTTTAAAAGCGTCATAGATTGATGGATTCGTCCATCAAATATCTATCAATATCGTTCATATTTTCCAACATATCAATTTGTTGTTGCTGCAAAAAAAATCAATAATTTTCYTTATTAATTAGATTATTTGTCATCATTCTTTGATCGTGAATCTCTTTTGGTAACCTATACGTTTAGTTAAAATGAAACAAAATATAATATCAATAAAAATTATATAAAATTTATACATTATTAATATATATATTTTTTATAATTTTATAAAAACTATATATTAGCGGCGCGTTGACGGGTTGGGCGGGTTGAGCCAATTTCAACCCTCCTAATTGGCGGGTTGACGGGTTGGGCGAGTTGAGCTAGGCTCAACCCAATTTCAACCCTCCTAATTGGCGGGTTGACGGGTTGGGCGGGTTGAGCTAGGCTCAACCCAATTTCAACCCTCCTAATTGGCGGGTTAGCGGTTTGGCGGGTGGACGGTTTGGCGGGTAGACGGGTTGGGTTTAATTGGGTTGTTAGCAGGTTGGGTTGGGCGGGTTTCGCGAGTTAACGGTTTTTTGTACACCCCTAATTTTACCTTACCGGATGAATATGGTAAGGATCAAGAATCTTACCGGTAAGAGCGAGACAAGGACCAAGAGTTTTACCCGGTAAGTGAAGGCGGCGACTTTTACCATGGTAAGCGCTTACCAGACAAATTGTTGCATATGGTACCGTTTTGATGGACTAAAATCTTATCCGATAAGTAAATGATAGTGTTAAATTTACCGATAAACACTTACCGAGTAAGTGTTCAGTAAACGGCCCCTAACTTGTAACCAATCAACCAAATGTTTGAACAGAGCTTACTTGTGATTCATCAAACTGGGAGATTTGGAAAGAAGTGGTTTGGGTTCCTTGAAATCCATACTTGATCCCCTCCTTTGATCTCTCATCCTTCTTTGCTCTGTTGCTAAACTGAATGGCTGAGGAACAGTTACCTTTGGTTTAGGGTTTTGCTTTGTAGCTTTTCTCGTTTTCTTCGGCAAATCGATCTTTAAATTTGCATTTTCGACTATGGTTTCTTCATCAGGTTTTTCTTTCGAAAACATCTCGACATCCTTCTCCATTTCTACTAGAAATTAATATTAACAGCAAACATGAAAACAAAACTAAAGCCATATATATATATATATATATATATATATATATATAGATGATCAGCTCTAAAAAACATCAAAAATGGTTACTAATTAACATAATTAAGATTATGATAACTCTAGTAAAAGTTTACCTTGTTTGCTGTTTCTTGCCTTCTCCATCATTCACTAAACTTCACCACAAAACTAAACACGAAAAATCGAATTCAAAGTTCCATCTTCAAAGAGAAAATATGTAGTTTTCCGCAATATGATCATGAGATGATATATACATATATGTAAACATTGCACACACACTTGTGTGTGTTTTTATATATTGAGTGGTTGCAGGTAACATCAACTTTAAAAATGGTATCTAATTGAGATAGTTGTTGAGGGATCCTAATCTGATTACGAGAYATATATATATATATATATATATATATATAGGGAAGGGTTCAAACAAGAACGTGAGAACACCTTTATTACATTATATTATGATAATCATTTTTAGATAAAATTTGCGATATTTAGATGGATGTGCCGGCGGGAGCCATCGTCCTCACAAGCACCGTATTTAAACCTAGAGATATCTTATTTATGTACCACTGTTTGGAAGAGAACAGGTTTCAATGCCGTCCCAACTGTAAAAGACAACAAGATAGGGAACAAAATGTATATATCATTTGGTTCCAAAATACAATCTTGAATTACAAGTAAGATTTTTTTTTTAAAAATCGATTATTAATCAAATATCTAAAATAATAAAATATTTCGATAAAGGTGGCCGAAAGTCATGTGAGAAGATTCATTATAACAAAATTGATTTTATGGGACGTCTAAATGTTAGAAGTGGTTTAAAAAGATATTTTATGGGACTTCAGTTTATACAACCAACTCAAAAAACGTTATATCTAAAAGTGTTACAATATGTTTATAGGATGCATTAGGCGTTTTAACAAGTTGTTTAGGACGTTTTAAAAGTAAAATGCCGTATTAACTATTTTATACGACATTATTTGAAAAAAAGTGTCTTGAATTTTTTTAAAAGTGTCTTATAAAATAGTTAATAGGACACTTTGTTTTAAAAATGTTCTAAAACACTTGTTAAAACGTTTAAAAACGTTTTATAAAACTATTGTAACCACTACTAGAAAACTGGTCATTTCCGGCGCAATTTCCGGCCGACTGAATCCGCCGGTAATTTACCGGCGGATTTCTGGCGGACTCCCTAAGTACTTAGTTTAATCTTGAATTTACATCGAATTACAAAACATTACCTGCGGATAATTAAATATTTTCTTAAAAAAAGAATTAACAATTTCCGACGGATGTCCGGCGGAAAATTAAATAATTTTTAAAAAAAATTAATATTTTCTGGCGGATTTCCGGTGGATAATTAAATATTTTATATATATATATATATATATTTCCAACGGATAATTACATATTTCTTTTAAAAAAATTTAACAATTTCCGGCGGAAAAATAAATATTTTCTTAAAAAAATAATTAAACATTTTCGGCGGATTTCCGACGGATTTGTCCTCCGGAAAAGAGGTCCTGTTTGGTAGTGAACGCTTACTTTAAACTTTGGTCCTATAAATCTAAGTTCTATAAAGGATTCTATTAGGGCGTTTAAACAATCTAGATGTCCTATAAAACTAATTTTGTTGTTGTGGAGTGAGTATGGATAGAATTTGTTTAGTTTTAATAAGAATAATTTTTTCATGTGTCTTTTATATTGTCTAGACATGGAATCACGTGAAACCAGTTTGTTTTCGTGAGACTCATGAGACTTTTTATACTTGAAACTTCATAATATAACACTTTAAAGATAATATTCACAATGTTTTTGTTATAAAAGTTCATAATTTTTGTACCCTCGCCGCTTTTGCTTTGAAGTTTCAAGCATAAAAATCTAGTCTCATGGATCTCACGAAAATAGGTTGGTTTCATGTGAACCCGACTCATATCATCTAACTTTATATATAAAACATGTTAGGTCGCTTAATTTGTTATTACAGCTTGTGATAACCATCATTGCATAAAACTCAAAGTTACTGGCTTCATAAACTTATAAGGTGTTACTTTATTAGGTCGTTCAAAAAAAACTAGTTAGATGTCCTAAAAAACCAATTTTATCGTGATATCTCGTCTTCCTTTTCTTCTCAAACATCTAAAACTTCATAACGACAACAATCTACTCATCAGATTGGCCCCACAATAGAAGATTCGAATGCAAAATGTTTGAATATACATGGACGAACCAACTGCAACGATCTAAAAATTAGAAAAGTTAGTAAATACTAAGGCAACGAAATCAAAACCATCTAAATTAGATTTCAAAGTATTTATACTTGATGCTATCGTATTTATATTTCATTCTAGAGTCGCAATATATCATAGAAGTCATCGATGGTAGATTAAGGACTTATAAAAGACCAAACCATGGATTGTTAAAGTTTTAGAATAATGTTGTTCGTTTACTGTTTATGCACTAAATTCTCCGAGGAATCACTCTCATGTTTAGAAATTTATTCAACGCACATAAAATTATTCATGAAGTTGATTAGATCTCTGATCTCTTCAGAGCCACTAGGGATTTTTCTTTAGTGTCTCGTACAATTAGTATTAATTAGTGCTTGCAACGTAACTAATCTTTTCAGTTTTCTTCTACATATCATCTAAACAATTAAAGCACACGTTCACATACGAACTAGAATGTTATTTAATATGAATCCATAATCTTATCTAATTTAAAATTATCCGTTCAATGTGAATTCATAATGTTTGTTAACATAACAACGTTCATTTACGCATGAACCCAAAAATATAAACTTATGAATAACGTGCTATATTATGTGAAACTTGGATCGAACTGTATAAGATTAAGTTTGTTATTTTGTAATGGAAAAATAACGTTGGTTTTCAAATAACAAATCCGAGTTTATTTCAAATTTGATTGTAATAATTCATATGATTTCAAGTTTGATTGAGATAATTTACAATTTCGGAGTAGTTATATATACCAATAGCATAATTTTTGAATTTGATTAAGATAATTTATGAATGATTTGGTTACAATATATGATTAACAATAGGGAAAAAAAATACTTAAATTATTTAAAATAAAAAAAGATAATATGTGATTAAATTATTGTTATTATTATATATATAATAATTAAGAAAAATATTGTAATCGTTATATATTTTAACAGAATAATAATATAAAAATACAATATTTATTATTGTAATTACTGTAACAGTAATTCTAATAAATAATAATATAAAATTAATAGAAATTAATGATAAAGTTTTGACAATTTAAGTAATTTGCCAAGGCTACAACGAGAACAAATTGGGAAAAAAAATTCGTAAAACTTGTAAATTTTTTTTATTTAAAACAGTGTGCAGATTTGTTGGAAATGTTTTATATTTAACAATAACATTAAATAAGGTTTGTGTCCGATAAAAAACAAAGTTATGATAAGAAACATAAGATAAATCATCATCTTTGAATGAATACTAATTGAATGTTAATACAAATAAAGTATATCAAGATATACTTGATCAATTGACTTCTAAAATACAATTCATGAATGAATGGATATGAAATTAAAGTCATCAAAAATTCAGAATTTTTCTTATGTTTCTCGTTATAATTTTTTTTTTAGACGATTTTTCTGGCGCATTAAATATTATCATACATTTATTATGTGTTTGACTATGGGATTCCTTTACATTATTATTTAATTGTTCAACAAAATTCAAAATTAATGGCATCGTATCTTCATCCACCAGTATATACAAGACTTGATATTCTCCAGTTTTACACATTTATATCTGAAACAATTTAATGTTCTTGTAACATCTAAAAGAAATAGCTCCGATATGGGCTGCCTTCTATCTGTAATCAACATCTTGTGTCTGCTTATACTTCCTTTCAGTTTTGTTGCTGCAGGTAATATATATGTTCATCGATCTGATCTGAATCATTATATATATATATATATATATATATATACGTTTTCTGATTTTAATCTGTGTGTTTGATCATTTGTTTTGATGTTCAGATGGCAGTAGCGCTGTTGGAGTGAACTATGGAATGATCGCCGACGACCTCCCTCCTCCACCTCAAGTCGTATCGCTTCTAAAATCAAGAAACATAAAGCGAGTTCGTCTCTATGACCCCAATCAAGACGCTCTTAACGCCCTGCAAAACTCAGGAATGGAAGTCATCCTGGGAACCTTGAATGACGATATACCAAGTCTTGGAGGTGATGATGTTACCTTCGCCGATAACTGGGTTCGAAATAACGTCGTCCCATATGCACAAACGATCAAATTCCGATGCATAGCCGTCGGGAACGAAGTCCTCCCCGGCGACCTGTCAATTTTCGTGTTTCCGGCGATCAAGAATCTTAATGCAGCTTTGGAATCCGTCAATCTAGGTCAGATTCCGGTGAGTACAGCTGCAAGTATTTCCGTGCTTGGAAGTTCATATCCTCCTTCAGCCGGAGATTTCAGAGGAGATATGAAACCAATAATGCAAGATCTCACCGGTTTCTTGGCCGGAAAAGGTTTCCCTCTTCTGGTGACGGCGTACCCGTACTTCTCTTACGTTTCTGACCCGAATTCAATAAGTTTATCATATGTGTTATTCAACTCTTCTGATGTTGTAGTCAAGGATGGAGATTTAGGGTACACTAACATGTTTGACGCCATGGTTGATGCTGTTTACTCAGCTTTAGAAAAGATCGGTGCAGGATCTGTTGAGGTTGTGATTTGCGAGACTGGGTGGCCATCAAATGGAAATGGCGATTTCACGACGATCGATCTGGCGCAAACGTATAACCAGAATCTTGTGAAGCATGTTTCAAGTTCTGGTACTCCAAAGAAACCCAACAAGAATGTTGAGACTTATGTGTTTGCCCTTTTTAATGAGGATCTTAAGCCTGCTGGTGTTGAACAAAATTTTGGTTTGTTCGACCCAAACATGAATCAAGTGTATCATCTTGATTTCAGCTAATTAAAATTGATCAAGAATGTAAAATTATTGTTACTGATTGAGGAATATAAATCGATAATAGAAATGTGCTGAATAAATGGGTTTTTTAGGATTCTTAGATCGATGTTCTTGGACATACAAATCGATCACTTAACGGGACTTTTAAATTTTAGGACCTCTGGACGAAGTTATGCGATCTCACGCATTCTCTCGACAAAGTTGAATAAGAAAAGATAACACAAAATAAATGTCCTATGGACCTTTTTATATGACATTTTTAAAGTTTCATATAAAAAAGGCTGATAGGAATATTGTACTGTAAAAATTTTAATAACACTGATTTTTTTTCTTATGTCGAGTTAGATTGTCTAACTTTGTTTAAACAACTCATTGTAATGTTGGTGTAGGCGTCCAAAAATTCCATTTTGTTGTAGCGTACCTTCCTTTTTGTCTTAGAATCGGAACTTCATCAAAGGTGAGTAAACCGACAATATACAATCTAGCTACATATCACATCGCCCCACAAATACAAGATTCGAATTCAAAATGTCTAAGATACGTTAGCAAAGCAATTACAACGATCTACAATTCAAGTTATGTGTTAAAATTGATTTTTCTGCCAACATGATCAATCCGACTATTTTCAGTATTAAAGAGAAAGATTAGCAAAATACAACACGATCGTGCTAATTAATTGCTAAATCTTTTCAAGTTTCCTTCCAAAACATGATCATTCAAACGATCAAAAAACATTTGCAAATACAAACTTTTCATAATTTCATTTTCATGCTTATATGGGACAAGTCCGAAAAACTCAAATAGTGTTGATAAAAGACCACGTTTCTATGGGAATCGAAAAACTAATTAAAAGAAACAATCTTGTGGATCACAAATGGGTTTACCAAAACCATATTCGGATAATTTAGTTGTTCGTTAAGGCATCGTTTGATATGCAGACGGAACTGTACAGGACAAAAGATCTCGACATGACTTGTTATCTGTATGGTTTTTGGCATGACTAGAAGTGGACTTGATTGTACTGATCAACAAAGGAACAAGGAGGCAAGCAGTATTCAATAACATGAAATAAATCCTTTTTCGTGGCTGCTTTTAGTTGCTTAAAGGTCAAGAAACTCAGTGCTTTTTTACAAGCAACTGGTCTTTCTTATTTCATCTAACTTTAACTACTCCATCATTTTGTAATCATGATTAGCTGTGTGAAACTGACATGTGGAGATCAACCATGAGAAGTTACTTAAGGCTGCTTATTAGCTTTCTGTATTAAATGTTAATTAGTCACCATCAAACTGTTTGAAATGCAATGCATACATGTATATTCACATTGCTCATACATAATGGAAAAAGTTCATATGTAGAAACTGGAAATCAGCAGGCATTACAAACTTCATCTCTATATATGGCTGAAAGGGTAATTGGTTTGAACGTTATTGAATTCTAATTAATGGTGCATGGACTAATTAAGGCACAAATATAAGAAGCCGAGATCAAATCCTGATCGGCTAGCGTAATTTCTGGGACTTGATCAGGTGAAACACTTGCTCTATTGCTAAATCTTCATAAGAGAATCATAATAATCGTCCAAACCAGCTTGAAAGACGTTAAATTCTGGTGAATTCTTGATGCTCACTTTGTTGTTTGTTGGTTCTCCGGGAGACACTGAGAGTAAACTAGGAAGCTGATTCTGATCGATGAAGAAGTTATCACTCAGGATTTTATGATCTGTGAATGTTTCTGCAGCCCCAATTCCATCTCCGAAGCTCTCCATCAAGCTTGCACCAATGGAATTACATTCACTAAGTGGTTCCAAAGCAATTTTGTTTAGATTCTGCAGCCAATCTTCAGATGGATTCATACCAAACTGATTAATCATTTCATCAATCAGTAATTGATCATCATGTTGGTTGAAACTACGCTGTGAATCCAAGAAAGCAGATTTCAAGGCATTTGGTAGGGGGGTTGTGTTTACAATTTCCAAGATATTATGCAACAACTGATCATTAATGTTGGTTAATTGATCAGTTGCATTAGATGGATATCTGAGGGAATTATTAATCCAAGGACTCATAATAGTTGGAACCTTGATCAGAAAGTTTGAAGACGTAGAAGTTAACTGCGAAATAACGTTCATAAGGAAACTGAAATTAGGAACCGGTTTATGTGTTTTGGGGTCAATTCCTGCCTTGAGAAGCTTCTTTCTGACACAGGTATTCCAGAAATTCTTGATTTCATTGTCGGTCCTTCCTGGAAGTTGTGAAGCAATTCTAGACCACCTGTAGTTTGGTTCAAGTTTTAACCTTTAATTAGTTTAGAAATACCACAAGTTTCTAGCCTCAAACTTAGCAAGACATGAAATCTAGAAAATCAGAAATCATATAAATCTATGTATCAAATTTAAAAATTTGTAGCCAGAAATTAAGAACTTACTTATTTCCTAGAGCGCAATGGAGGTTAATGATGAGATTTTCTTCATCTTCGGAAAACTTTCCTCTCTTAATGTCAGGCCTAAGATAGTTAATCCATCTTAATCTGCAACTTTTCCCGCACCTATTCAAACCAGCAAGCTTAGGTAAAGCTCTCCAGCTATTGTGGCCATGTTTCTGGATGTAATCAGTAAGAACCTGATCCTCTTCTGGAGTCCAAGGTCCCTTCTTCAAATCGCCATTCTCACTGCAACAAGGAGGCCTACCCATCTTCCCTATCAACTAGAAACAATCATAAACTTCAAATTCACATAAATTGATTGATTCTGGAGAGAACTTGAAGATCTAGTTGTAGAGGTGAGCTAGAGTGAACTTGTGCAAACTATCTGGGGTTTCTGGTTCTTATATGCAAGATGAGTGATGCATTTTAAAAACAATATTTTCTACTGAACTTCATCTGTTACTTCCATTATTTTATAGGAATGTTGATTTTGTGCTAGAAACGAAGGAAAGGAAGTTGCTTAGCCACCATCTTGGAGCTTTCAGACAAAACAGAAACCTTTTTTTATGCTTATTTTATGATCATAAACAGTTGGGGGTGGGTGTGCTACAAAGCTAAAACATTAATTTGCATGATGGCTTGCATACTTTTTTAATAATTAATTGAAGACTTGAAGCAGCCATGCAATTTTGGATATTCCTAGTTGCCTTCAAAACCAGAAGGAAACCATCTTCACCATTTTACTTGTACTCTAAAGTCTAAACTCGCTAGTAAGGCCGCATAAAAACCCAATAAATTATAAACTTATTAGCCCATTTGATCCGATCCGAAAGGCGAAAATAGGCCGAACTAATCCAACTTGAACCAATCTGAATCCCGATTGATTCCTAAAATCGACAATATATGGGACGGAAATGGGTTTAAGCCCGTTGAACACAACCCGAGTGTTCATAGTTCTATAGTTTAACCATCTTTCTAAAATTACGTTCAACCCAATCTAACCCAACTTGTAACGTAACGGGTTGGACATTACATTTCATTTTAAACTTTTATGAAGAGAAGTAGTTGAATAGGGTTTTCAAATATTTTAAGAAACAAATCATATAATTATAGAAGATAGTGGTTTGTAGAGTGGTAAAGTAGGCAACCTCCATTAAATTAAAGGAGATATCAACCAAACTTTTACCAAATCTTGGATCATGAATGACCTCATTTCATATTCATTTACAAATAAAGGTCAAAATGCATATATATAGTAGTGGATCTTTGTTTATAGTCAAAAGAGAACTTCATTTCACCTATACCACCTACCCATACCCTACATGGTTTTTGTTTTTCCTTCATTCTTGGAAATGTTTAAGCTCAAGATGAGTTGGAGTACGTCTTAATTACCTTGCTTAACACAAACAGACCATCAAACATGTAATGGATTCTTTTAGAAAAGGTTTAAAGGGGTTAACATGATCTCACGTATTTGATATGTTAAAGCATCGGAGGATGGTTTCGAGTAATGGTAATCCTTAAGAGGATATAGTGTCCATGAACCAGTTCGACTTTCTTTATCGGCATAATATATATGTATGTTGGTCTTGGTCTTGTCGCGTTGGGTTGTCTTAATTTGGGATGAAGCACTATCCTTAGTGAAAAAACGAATCATTGTATGTACCTGTAGTTGTAGTTTGATATGATATCTTGTCAAATCCTTCACGTGTAACAAAAGATGCCTGAACCAACGAACATCAAAATCCTATTGTTCTTCAAAGACATGAATGCAATAGATCTAGCAATGCATCAAAGGATGATAAATCTTGTCGTTTTCCTTCTTCGTTACTGAATTGAAATCCATGCAAGAATTAAGATGACACAACCAAAACATGTCGCGTATATGTTATGGCTTGATCAAATACATGTAATCATCTTGGGATAGATTGTGATATGTGTATTATGATCATGGTTTTAGTTTATCTGAATGTTATAAGCTTGACCTTTTGTTTTAAGGTTACAAATATCCATAAAAGGCATTAGGATTGTTTGTGTTAGCACACACATGTATAGTGTTACATATTTGAGGGACTAAACCCGTCATTTTTGTATAGTTAAGACGTATAAATATTCTCTTTTTTTCTGGTTCCTTGTTTTTTCTTTTTCTTTTTTCTATTAACTTGGATATCCAACCTCCTATGTGAGCCGACTAATCCTAGGGCGACCACCTGCTTTGTAAATAGCTCGGAGTCACCGCATTTGAACCTCCGTAGTCACAAGGGGATTTTTATTTCTTCTTGGATTTGAACTTGAGACCTCTTGATACTTTTGACGTTTGAAGCCAAACTCAAACCAATCAAACACCACCCTTGTGGTTTGGTTCCTTGTTTCTTTCTGTTGTACATTGAGGTTCTCTTCATCAATCGATATAAAACCCTATCATATTCTCTATGAATGGCTTTTTGGATCCATTGTTTGTATCAACTTGGAAGATGTGGTCCAAATTGGGTGTGACTTGTGTCCGGGCAGTGTCGAAGCCCCATATGGGCCTTTGGGGACCATGGCTCCCCGCTTTTTGACTCTAATATAGTACATGAACTATGAAGACATAGTGTTGGTAGCTTAATTAGTTATCGTTTTGGCCATATCCTTGAGGTCACGGTATCAAATCCTATATGTTGTATTTTTCAATTTCTCATTTTCCTTCCACGCACTACATATTAAATTATTAATATCAATTATATATAATAATGAGTTTTTAAATAATATAAAAAGATAATGTTTAAGTTTGTATATAGTGTTATATTACTAACCTAAAGGTTTTGTTTTATTAGTTCATAATCTCGGTTAATAGTGTAAAAGTTTTGAGTTTTAGAGGCCGTTTAATTACCCTAACATTATTCCGGTAAGCACTTACCGATAAAATTTGATGTTATCACTTACCTTACGGGGTAAAATTTGTGTTCCATGAAAATGGCATCATATGCAACAATTTACCCAGTAAACACTAATCAGGTAAGAGTCCTCACCTTTACTTACAAAGGTAAGACTCTTGATTTTTACGTGTAAGATTCTCGTTCCTTGTCTTATCTATCCAGTAAGGTAATATGACTTGGTAAGCGTTAGGTAAACGACCCCATAGTCTTCCATTAACAAATTTTCTCTAAAATTTAATATTAGATCATAGGAAACAAGAATAAAAAAAAAACTACGTGCACATCATTTGGATCTCTAAAATTTTGTAATATTATATTTCGATCCCTCAAACTATGACGGTTGTGTTATGTCCCTGGTCCAGGGTAGAAATGAATTCTTTTATTTCTTTTCTGGAATATTGCATGAAGTCGTAATAAATTAATTCAATGATATATGAAAAAGATTAATTGTAAGCCGAAAAGGCCATTATGACAAGATATCCAAGCAAAGTGTCAACGTACATCTTCAAGACCCAAATCAAGAGAAAGTTAACCGCTATAAATTGTTGATTCAAGCCAATGAAGATAAAAGAGACCGATTATTATTATCGTTGAATGACACAAATAAAACAGTTTAGAAAATGCATGTGGATCCGTAATTGTAATGTAAATATATATTTAGGCAAAGAAAACATATCATTATAACTCATTATCAATTATCAACCTGATTTTAACTTACAAATGCTATTGTATATAAAAGCATGCATCTCATAATAGATTTTTCAAAAAAAATAAAAATTTGAGAGTCAAAAATCATTAATCTACAAAAAGAAAATGCATTCAACTCTAAAGGGGTGTTTGATTCACATAATTTAATTTGATGGAATTGGAATTCATCAAAGGAATTGGACTTTGAATGAATTGGAATGAAATTTGATGAAATCTGACCACGTGTTTGGTTGGTAGGAATTTGAATGAAATATCTCAATAGAATTGGAACAATCGTCTTTGTTTGGACTATCCTACCCATCACTCCGCCCACACCCTACCAACCATTATGTCGCTATTGTCGTTGTCACAGCTATCACCCCGCCCCTACCCCCACCCCTTCCCAAACTCTGCCCCACCACCCCAACCACGCCCCCATCACTCCTGCCCCAACCCTTTTCCATAGGTGAGGGTTGTCAGGGGGCAGGCAGGATGGGGTGAGGCGGTGGGGGTGGGGCCAAAGTGGGGCAGTGGGTGAAAGGGTGGTAGATGTGACAACTATAGTGGTAAAAATGGTAGTTAGTGGTGGGTTGGAGTAGTGTAAGGTGGGGCAGGGGTGGGGGGCGAGGTGGGACAATGGGGTGGGCAAGGGTAGGTGGCGGAATGGTAGTTTGTGACGAGGATAGTGGTTGGGTGGCTGGGTCCTGAGAGTGGGTGGATATGACGACAACAATAGTGGCATGGTGTTTAGTGGTGGGTTGGGGTAGGTGAGTTGCGGTTGTTAAGGCGACAATAGTGGTGTGGTTAAGGGCGGGTTGGGTGTCAGGGATGGGTGGCAGTTGTGGTTAGGTTTTATGTGGTTTTAAGAAAGTGTAATATTTTTATTTTTAAATAAAATATAAAAATAAAGATATCATAAAAAATTTTAAAAAAAATGTTGATATTAGTCTATACTATATTATAAGACATTTGACAAAAACTCTTAAAAAACATTTTTTTTATGCATAAAATACTGTTTATTGATATCTATTACTTAAAATTCAAGAGTATAAATAATTTTGCGTAAGTACAACTTATTAAAGCTCCATTTTTAAATTTGTATAACTAACTGAAGATAAACATAATCAAATACAGGATAAACATCCATTTTAAACATAGAAAATCTAAAATATAATTAAGATAATCATTGAGTTTTAAGAGAATGTTTAATTGTATCTTTATAAAAAAATTGTATTATTAAACCAAAAATAAATTACTTTGTTATTAAATCTAAATTGAATTATAATAAAAAAAATGAATTAAAGAACTTATACCAAAGAAACGAGAACTATTAAATAATTAATTTGATACTAATATCGATTTATTTATTTTTCAAAATTTTATGTTATCTTCAAATTTATATTTCATTCAAAAATAAAAACATTATCGGTTTCTCAAAACCACATAAAATTGTATTATATCGTTAGAGATAAAGAATAAAAAAAACATTGAAATGGAAATGTATCTCGATGCATTGCACGAGTACCCTTCTAGTACCAAATTAACTATTTAAAATTTATCCATATTTATGTATTTCATGTTTTTATTTTTTATTTAATAATTTAATTTTTTATAAAAATAATAATTAAGTATTTTGTTAGAAGTGAATTATTCTCCTAATTATATTTTAGAT